AATTATAAATAAATAAAATTTACTTAGAATCTCTTCTATACATATAATATGAAACTAACTTACTGCATAAAAGCTTTTCTAAAATAAAGTTATTAGAAATTATAGTATTAAATTATCTAGCTAATATTATAAAAACTTTATTAATATAACTTTTTCAATAAATTCTTATTATATTCTTATAAAAACAATCTTTAAACATATTAATATATTAGTTTATACTTAAGATCTTAATATTAAAATGGTTTTATTTAATAATATTAATAAGCTTCAAATTAGTTCGTAACAAAATAAATCAATATGAGATTAGTTAAAAAAAAGTTTTTAACATAAAGGTTTTTTATATTTTTAATAGATTATATTAAGAAGCTTTAAGAAATTTATTTTAGAAACCTTTAATCTAAATGTTAAAGTTTATAATAAAAACTATTTAATTTTAAACTAAAATGTATTTTTATAAATGATAATAAAATTACTTAAATTACTTAGAGCATAATATTACTTTAGAATATAAATTAAAACATAGAAAATTTAATCTTTTTTCTCTAAAACCTCTATTTAAATAAATATAAAACCCTTTTATAGAATAATATTCTTAACTTATTTATTTAAAACTTTATATATTTATTCCTTTTATATATATTGTATTTTATAAATAGCTTATATAATAAAATATAAAATATAAAGCTTACAAATACTTATAGATTTTTGAATAAGAAAAATAAATATAACCAATATAAGTAATAATAAATTATTAATAGCGTTTTTAAATTCGTCTTCTCTAAAATCTTTATTTTTAACAATATCCCTTTTTATAATAGCTTTTTATATAGTTATTTAAAATAATAGAAATATATAAAATAACTATTTTATTACAAACGTTTTATTTTACTTTATAATATTTATGGTATTTTTTATTCCTTTTCTAAATGTAATTATTAAATAAAAATATGTTTTTAATTTTATTTAAATTAGAAAGCATATTAGAGGTATTATTTAAGTTAATATATTTCTGATAAGTTTTAGTTTATATTTCTACTTAAAAATAATATACTAAACCAAAAAGGTATAATAAAACATTATTCTTTGAAACAATATTAAAATTAACTAATGATTACTACTATATTAAAAATATATTATAAATTGAAAATAACCTTAAAAATAGAATTAAAGAATTAAAATAGAACATAATAGATATGAAATAAATTAAATAAAGTTATAATTCATTTTATAAATAAGAGTTTAGAAGTATAACATAAGCTAAGTTTATAATCATTATAAACTAACTATAATATATATACAGTATCTATATAAACAGATTAATTCTTTTTAAATTAATATTTAACGTAAAAAGTCTTTTAAAAAATAGACTATAACGCGCTAGAATAATGTTAGCTTAGATAAATAGGTTAGAAGTAAGTCACCTCGCACCTTCCTCTAGGCGTAAGGCTACCTCAGATGCTTGAGGGCATCACAATAGTACCTGAGCTCATAAATCTACACCACATAATGTCACACTCAAATTATTCTCATCACGACTTGCACAGTCAAATAATTGCAGTTCGTCGAGGAAATGGAAGCAATTTGGGTTCACACGTAGCTACTCTCTAACACTGCCCCAGCAGATGACCGTGGAACTCCAAATGGTTCAAGAACCCTCTCGCAATCCAACCATCAAATTCGACTCCCTCCACAACCTCCCCTCCTTTTCTTCATCGTATGCCCACGGCGCGAACCCCTGATCAAGCGAAAACGGACCCTCACCAGGCTTCACCGGTCCAACCTCCCCACAATCACTCAGATACCTGCCTCCTCGGCCTTCCCAGTCCTTGCTCACAGCGGCGTACACCGTTGTCGCAGCTCCTTGCGTGGGGCTCTTTAGCGATTTGGCGAGGATGTCGTATTGCTCTCCAAACATGGCCCTGAGCTCTGCGGGGTCCTTGCCGATCTGGTGGCGGTTCATGTTGGTGATGATGCTGCCCGGGTGTAGCGAGAGGCCATGGAGACCCTGGGTGCCGTAGCGGCGCTCAATCTCGTTGGCCAGGTAGACATTTGCGATTTTAGTTTGGCTGTAGGCGATGACCGTATCGTAGGGCCGTTTGGTGAAGTTGTAGTCGTCGAAGAGGACTTCGCTGCCACGATGGAGCATCGAGGCTACCGCGACAACTCGGGAATGAAACTGGGGTGTTGAAGAAGCCAGGAGGAGTGGTTTGAGGAGTTGGAAGAGGAGGAAGTGACCCAGGTGATTGGTCGCAAACGTCTTTTCGAAGCCGTCCTCGGTTGTTTGCTTGGTTTCTGGCATCACGCCTGCGTTAAGCACGAGGATGTTTAGCTGGGTTCTGCGCGCTGTAAAGTCCGCTGCTGCCTTTCGCACTGAGGCGAGAGAGTCGAGAGACAGCTCTACCAGGTGGAGGCTGCCTTTGCTGTCTGCGCTCGTCGACTTGATGTCGTCGATGGCGGCTTGGCCACGGGTGAGGTCGCGAACGCCGAGGTAGATGGTGGCACCGGTTAAGTGCAACGCGCGGGCTGTCTCAAGGCCGATACCTTGGTTTGCGCCGGTGATGAAGATGGTCTTATTGACGAGTGCGTTGTGGAGGTTCTCATCGGCGATTATTTGGACAGCTGTAGGACGGGCGTCGCTTGGGCCTTCGATATTTTCATGAGCGGCCGCGTACTTCGACATGATGAGTTGCAGATATGGACCGATGATAGAACACAGTTTTGTGTCTTTCTACTATTCATAACAATTGGAAAATAGTCATCGTAAAGCTCACGCCGCAGCGGTCTTTATACTCTCAAATCTGAGGCGTAGCACCGGTCGCCGGACCTGCCGGCAACAGCGTAGTTCTCACGTGAAGTACCTTGTCCCAGATGATGCAGTTGAAAAATACATATCCTGCAGCACTAACTTCCGGGTGTTTGTGCAAATGCCTGTTCCGGCGTGTAAAGTTTGACAACGGATACATTGACCTCATTGGGAGAGGTTCGGATGAAGACACGGGGCGCGGGCCCCGGGAGTCAGGAGAGCCCGTTACATCCGACGGGGTGGTTTGAAGTCGGTATATGGCCAAGACTCCGGCAAAAATATGAAGGGTCCGAGCCGCTAGTTGTCATAATTTCATGGACTCCAAAGCTGGTCTTGACAAGTCACAATTGACGACATGTTTGACGCTTGTGAATGTGAAGTGTTTGACTCCTGGTGGCTACGGTATATTTGCTTGTCCACGGTCTTTTCACGCATAAAAGGTCAGACGCTGCGGCGGCGATGCCACGAATTTATCTTTCAATCTAAGCGTACTTTCCCTAGAACCATGCCCTTGTACACGGGGACTCCAGTTCAAATTGCCCCAGTCTTGTCCAACCCATGGCTATTGACGTGTCTGGACAAGAAATCACCACGAACCGTCCCATAATTCACAATAGCCGTTCTTACAGCCTTCACAGAGCTCCTGTCTGTGAGGAGGAGTCTCCTTCTCCCTATAAGGGGGTTGTTCCATAACCACGCCAGCCCACTTTTTCAACCGATACGCAACTCGCTCAACGTACGAACTTTTGTCGAGGGTCAAATTCCCGAGCCTTTTGCACTGTTTGCATCGCTGGTTGTAGACGACTGCATTGTACCCGTTGTTTGGGTATCTTCGGATCACAATGTTGACTTTGCCGCTCGCCCACGCTTCTTTGGAGCAAGCACTGTTGTCGCAAGTCAATCTTCCCATCAAGAAGGTAGAATATAGGTCATCGTGCTCTTGTTTGATGTTGCGGTTGAACCAGACGGATGTGATGTGGTCGGAAACGGCTTTGGCGACGTCTTTATGAAGGTGAGGGAATGTGAAAGAGGGTTTCGTCCCGTCACTGCGATTGATGGACTTTCTCCTTGTCATTTCGGGTAGATTGCGAGTTGTTTGTTTCGGAAAAGGATTGGTCTTTTGAGCTGCAGCAACAATGATATTCTGTACAGCTGTGGTGGTCTTGGGCGGCATAGTTGTCTCTTTATCTCGGACTTGGTCTATGAAATCTGGAATGGTGATGAGGGGATAGACTGTTGACAGCGGATGCCACTGGTGTTCAAAGGACTACGGGGTATTGTCGTTGGCTAGATTCGTTGGGTCAAATGCCGGAGGCCGACCACGCGGCATTGCTGAGATGCAGAGCATCTGCAAGCTGAAATTGTAAAGCCCTGCAAGGGGATCCTTTCAAGTTTTGCTATCCTTTCTATCACCGGGCTTCGCCGTCATCTTATTATGAAGGTTGGCTATCTCCAGGTAACTCGACTTGACCATTTGGTCAATTGTAAGCGCCGGTGTCCTTGGGCTCAAAGAAAGCAATATCAGTCCACGTGGGCTTGAAAGACTCCAGATGCGTTTCATCGTGAGGGATCGGGATGTCTCCACCAACATCAAATACCACAAGCATCGAAGGAAGAGAACTAAGCGCCGGTCATGTCATACTGTCCCTCGTTCGCCCATAACAACACAAAACTTCACTGATGGCCGCAGCAACAGTATGCGGACAGAGAAAAAGTTGATTCCGGGTCTTAGATTTCCAGAGAGGACTGGATCCTGTACGCCAATGTCGTTGGGATGAACTGCAGGACTTGACGCGTTCCAAGATGCAGGGTGCGCTCACACCTGGGGACACGTGGACCAACAGAGAAGCGCTGTAGGTCAAGGCGTACAATGATTGGATGGTGAGCTGCATACTGTAAGCATCGTAAACCTCGCAAAAATGAGGTTGCAGCAGGTTATGAGCCTATGGTTGACATGCGAGGGCTGTGTTGGTGCGGGATGCATGTGCTGAGAACCACAGCGATGCAAGCTTGCGCATGCAAGACAATGCATGAAGGCCCGAATGACTTAAATATCGTACGATGAATGCGAATGAATCCCATCGGAGTAGCTGTGTGGAAGAAAACGTCGTAATCATGCCTCCTGGTCGCGATTTAAATACACCTGCAGGCAATAGTAGGTCATTGAGACACAATTTACCCAAAGACATCAAGAGCTATGGCCCCAAAAAAGAAATCTAGGAAAGTGGACAGGGCCGAACTTCATGTCGACTTCATTGCCCTAGAAGAAGCCCCAGTATTTGCAGAGAACGAGCCCATGCCTATCCTGGAAGAGGTAGCGCCTCTCGATGACGAGTCGGCGCCTCTCGAAGACGAGCCGATACCTCTCGAAGAAGAGCCGATGCCTCTCAAAGAAGAGCCGATACCTTTCGAAGAAGAGCTGTCACCTCTTGAAGAAGAGTTGATGCTATCGTAGGTGTTACTTTTACTCAACGAGTCGCTAAAGAACATGATCTGAACTTGGTTTTAGGCCGTACGCGAGCACAAGCTGCTACGTCTACTTCAAGAACAACATACCATTCGTTGTCCCGCGCGAGCTATTGCTTCATGCAGGCAACATTCTATCGGTGTCACCTATTTTGCCTGGCGATGGACCCAACCACATACGTATGGAAGAGGTCCCAGACGACGCAGGTCATGTGCTGGTTCATTATGTTTATACTGGGACTTGGCAGATCCTTCGACAGAGACATACACAGCAACAGCCCACCGCATTCTCTGATTCCAACATCGGCGTTACCAAGTCTGACTTTGAGACTAGCGTTCATGTCTACTGCGCTGCTAGGGCCTATGGTCTCTCAAACTTGGTGGAATTGGCCAAGGGGCAGGTGCAGCGACTAGCCAGTCACTTGACGCCGCTGAACGTTCTCCTCTCGGCCTCTGAGGCATGCCAGCTCCTAGCCGAGGACGATCTTTGGTTTAGAGGCTTCCTGCAGCGACTCCTAAGACTGATGTTCAACAACTCGAAGGATCTTGAAGAATCGTTGTTTCTGGGATGTATCGGACAGGACACTGTCTATTCGAAATTTCTGATGAGAAGCCTGTTTAGATTGTGCTGTCAGAACTGCCGCGTCCTGCCAGCTGCCGTCGGAGTCCCGTCCGCTTTTGAGGCCGACGAAACCCAGTCAAATGCCTTTCAAACAGAAGGAGACATGCCTGAAGAGCATGATTCTATCTTTCTGCCGGAGGCTGGGCCATCAGCAGAGGAGACGAAGGTAGCCGAGACGCCTCCATCAGATGATTGGACTGTGGCCGAAGAACCCAAGCCTGAAGAGTTTGCCGAGCGGGCGGAGTCATCGGGAAAATGTACCGAAACCGAAGTGACTGACCCGGGTGGCTTTGTCCCCGTATCTCCGCCAGAGGCCTGCCCACAAAAGGAGTCTAGCTTGACTGAACCTACAAAGAAGTCTAAGAAAGATAAGAAGAAGCAAAAAAAAGCAAAACTCTTGAAGAGGAATGAAAGTGTCCTGACGGAAAACATGGTGAAGCTCGGGTCGGAGCCGGGAACGAGGCCGGGGCCAGAGACCAGGTATGAAGCAGAGACGGCAATTGCGCCGGTGGAAGAGGGGGGATATTGGGGGTCTAGATCCGTGAAGGAAAATGAAAAAGACGGCTTGGCCTCCCCAATCCTACAGGCAGAATCAGTGGAAGAGCCGGGACTTCGGCCAGCATTGGATGACGAGACAGGAGTTGACGAAACTTCCTGGGAACGTTTCATCAAGAAAATAGATAAGAACAGTGGGGAGGTGATAGCACCGGAGCCTGAGCCGGAGCCGAAGCTAGAAGTTGCACCAGCGGTCGAGGAAGGCCCTTGTGGTGAGCCGCGGAAGCCTGAAAAGAAGAAGGAGAAGGCAATCGAAGTAAGCAAGAAGAAGAAAAAGAAGGCAGGCCTAGTTCCGGACGCCTCAAAGCCAGAGTCTGGCACAGAAGTCGACGCGGAAACCACAACTGTGAGGGCCGAAGACCCTTGGGGCTGGGGGATTCCGCTGCCGAAGAAGAAGTCGACTGCTGGACAGGTAATCATGCCTGAACTGGACTGTCCCGACAGGGTCACTCATATACTCGACGGCGGCTGGACTGAATGCTCTACCTGTCGCGAACAAGTTGGCAACATATCGGGGGAGTATCAGGCTACCCAAGCCAAGGAAGGTGACCGGCTATTGTTTTGAGGAAATAAGATGGGTTTTCATGGTCATTATCAAGGAAACAGAGTCATTTAGCAACAAGTCATTCATTTCCAGAGTCTTTGGAAATTTGTGTGAATCATTTGAAAACGAACTTCTCTTGCCGTTCACTTGTGGCGCCCTCGGACTGAAGAACTGAAGAATGCGTCAACTGACTATTGTTGCTGGAGCAACGCACATTGGGAGCTCTGACACAAAAAAGGGACCTTTGCTACCCCTGCAATCGATCCTTATCAGCACTCGATTGCATCATCGCCGCTGTGCCGTTCGTTTCTCAGCGACCTTCCGAGCCTGGTCACTCGTACCAATTACACGCAACGGTGGATGCGCTTATCGCTGATATGAGGCACCAAGCGCCATCTCTCTTCATAAACCCTTGCCAAGCTCCATCTCTCCTCCACACATCCACAACCGCAACCCAACAGCCGCCATGCGCTACTCTCTGTCTACCAAGCTACTGCTCCTTCTGGGCTCTTCGCAGCTCGCGCTGAGCGCCTCCGATGACCAGTTTGTTATCGCGCCTGCCAGCAAAGATGCTGCGACCTCGTTCCGAATCCACGATGCCGATGAGTCAGTTCTCGCCGCGTTGAAGGCGCACCCCGATCCCGTCGATGCCCTGCTGTCCCTCCAACCTGAGAAGGCGGACAAGCTCGCCGAGCGCAGGTTGCTCCACGTCTTTGGCGAGAAGGAGCCGCAATGGATGACGGAGGGGGACAAGCTTCGTCTGCGTCGCAAGGGCAAGAAGTTCCGCGACATCACGAACCATCAGGACCTCTATGCGGAGGACTCCGTCGGCGCGTGGTCCGGCAAGGCCAGTAAGTGCTAGATCAACCCTTATCGACTTAAAAGACAACCAGCTGACGGGTTCTCGTCCAGACCTTCCCAAGATCACCCATCAACGATTGATCAAGCCCCTGTTCCCCAAGGTTAACCAGAACGAGATGCACGACGTCCTCGCCCACATGACGAGCTACTACAACAGATACTTCGACGGTCCGACTGGCGAGGAAAGCTCCCAGTGGCTGCACGATCATATCGCTGAGATTATCGCGCAATCTCCGTACCATACCCATATCTCCCTCGAGTACTTCACCCACAACTTCGTGCAGTCCTCCATCATTGCGCGCTTCGAGCCCAAGGTCCGCGACTTCTCCAAGCCCCTGACCATTATCGGCGCCCACCAAGACTCCGCCAACTACCTCTTCCCTCTTCTCCCTGCTCCCGGTGCCGACGATGATTGCTCCGGCACGGTCAGCATCCTCGAGGCCTTCCGCGTCCTTGCCCTGAGCGGCTACATTCCCCAGGAGGGACCCGTAGAGTTCCACTGGTATGCCGCTGAGGAAGGCGGTCTGCTCGGTAGCCAGGATATCGCCGCATACAAGAAGAAGGAGGGCGCGAACATTGGTGCTATGATGGAGTTTGACATGACCGCCTTCATCGCGCGGAACGCCACCGAGTCGATTGGATTCATCAAGACTGATGCGGACGCGCCTCTGACGAAGTGGGCTGTGGAATTGAGCACCGAGTACATCAACATTACCACCAGTGTGTACGAGTTGATGCCCGGTGCTGGATCAGACTACATGTCCTACACCAAGCTGGGCTTCCCTGCCACGTTTGCCTCCGAGGGCAACCCCGTTGCTGGTGGTTTCCCTGGCGAGTTCGACCCCTATGTCCACACCAGCAAGGACCGGATGGACATTGATGACGAGTTCGGCGTATTTTCTATTGACCACATGGCGAGGTTCTCCGAGCTGGCTATTGCTTTTGCTATTGAGCAGGCTGGTTGGGATAACAAGTGGAGGTAAGGAGCAATCCAAGTTGTCGAAAGATTGAACCCAATCGACTGCAGGGTTATCATGGTATTATCAAGCACTTCCGGTGCTGGTTGGCGAGAGCGGGATCACTGGTGTAAATGATTCTAGTTCCCTTTGAATACGTGAAAGTCAATATTACTAGGTACATGGACTCAGTGCTACATCGTAAACGTACGGACCACCTGGTTTAAACTAATAAACTGACAAGTTCGCCCTGACCATCTTAACTATTTTCCACGAGGACTACAGCCAGCGCTGAATGCCTCCAGATCAGCGTCTTTGACCTGCATGGGCATTTGGCAGTCTGGGCGTCATCTGAAACCCGAAGAACGTAATTCTTAGTGGACCATCCATCTCAAGTCAGCGTAGATGCGTACCTCGTTGCATCTTCACCGAGCAGTTGCTTTCGAGCGCCTTTGGCATTTTCAAACGCAAAGAGGGACTTAGACGTTTCTGTGTGGTGCATCTCAACATGAAGCCTGCGCTGATACGTATTGGGTCTGCTCGTGTAACACGGAGCCATGAAAACAAAACGAAAGTCTCTGATGTTCCAGCTTGCTTCACAAGCCAACGCATGAGAGCCGCTGACAGCTCGCAGTGGTTCTGAGATACGAATACGCTCGTAAAATTGCTCTCGGCCGATGGCAGGCCCCCGTTCATCCACCCTGACAGCTCGTTACCATGACTCAATTAGGTTGTAGGCAGCGACGATAAGCTAAGGATGTAGCTGACCTTACCTCAGCATACCGCGTCTGTGCCGCCCTCATGTGATATCATGAGTTCATGTATCGAAGCTTCAGAAGTCAATTCATGCACGGGGCAGAAGCTTCCATGCCGCCGCTGCAGCGCATCCCGACTGCCGGAGTCCTTAGGGAACCCAGTTCTGCCCGTACCCGAACCCCGCTGAGACTGGCGAGAACGAGCGGTCGTGTTTGTCGCATTGTTCTCCATCCGATTTGGCCATGCGTCTCATGGTCGCGAGCTGTAGTGGCTTCCACCGGGAAAGCAGGGATGAGATAACTTTCATCGGCGCCGGAGTTTCAAAGGAAAGTGAACGTTTTCGAAGACACGAGCCACGTCCTGCCACGCATACGTCGTCCGTACGCCGGCCGGGTTGTGGTCATATGCCGAGGCACATGCCGTTTCTAATGTCAAGCCGCCTCCCCACGGGCTTTATGAAGCAGTCAGTGTCAACAGACAAAAGGCAGTTAATTCCATCGCATTTCCAGCTCTGAGCTACAATCACACTCTCAAGCTATCACGATGTCCACGGCTGTTACAACAACTGCTCTGAGCAAAGGCAAGGTGAAGTTGTCAGGTGCGCAGGAAACTCTCCTGCTCACCCTCTTCGCCCGCGCCAAGGATGCCGAGTCTGCGTCGCCGATTCTGAATGACCAGTACGCCCTAGAGATCGTCAACCAGATCAAGGAACAGGGCTATGACTTCAACCGAACATCCATGGGATTCACAAGAATCCCAACGTTCTCCGCACCGGTAGCTATGCGCGGTCGCATGCTAGACATTTGCACTGAGAGGTTTCTTCGAAGAAATCCGGGTCCTGCAACGGTGATCCACTTGGCATGCGGGATGGACTCGAGATGCCATCGCGTGCAGTGGCAGGGAGAGGGAAGGGTGTGGATCGACGCGGATAAGGAGGATGTCATCGAGCTACGGCGCCAAGTTTTGAATGACCCGGAACCAGTCAAAGGGGCTGAGTATCGCTTGATCCACCCAAACATTCACAGCGACACTTGGCTACGCGAGGCCAAGATTCCTGTCGACCGGCCAGTTTTGATCCTTTTCGAAGGTCTTACTCCGTACCTCACGAACGACGAGATGATTGGGCTGGTCCGGCGCATTGTGAACTACTTCCGTTCTCATGGCGCCCATGGCGAGCTTCGTTTCGATGCCGTCGGCTCGATTACGTACTACGCGATGAACTACATCTTCAAGACCCCGTTCAAGACAATGGGAACGCGATTCTACTATTACCTTGACGACCCGAGATCCCTCACGCAGAAGATTCCGGGACTTAGGTACAAAGACTCCATATTCCTGATGCCTGACCTGTTTAGGTACGGCATCTTGGGGCTCGTCCTCGGATTTTTCACATGGATCATCGACCTCTTTGGAATATCCGGCCGTCTCGGCGGTGGATATGGTTATGAGTTCTAGAGTGTGGCTAAGTAGGCCTTTCTGATTAATCTTGTCTTCGGGTCAATCATTCGTAGTATGAAAGTTCGGGGATTGGGTCGGTCTAGCTTGCGTGCGATATGGTGGATTGTGTATGTATAGAATCTAATATACTTGCCTGATGCTGCAAAAATCACCTCCATGTACTGAATATCATATCCTTGTAGGGCAGAAGTTGACGAAGATATCATCACCGAAAGCGGGATTCAGACGTTGCTTTAACTCCGTAACGCTCTCGTATATTGCTACTCCCGGCCACCTAATCATGAATCATTGCCGGTCACTGTACTGTGCCTGCCTTTTGTTCCTGACGTGCCATGCAGGCACTCGAGTCGGGTTTGCTATCCTCGACTATGGCAGACTGATATCATCGAAAACATTCATCGCTAGACTTGGCAGTCTCTGGTATCATTTCGCAGCAAACAATCAAGCAGACGCATTGTTATATACAAAACCATCGAGGTTAAAAGCAGAGCGTGTGGTATCAACGTCTTTCAGGAGCACCTCGACAGCGCATGCCACGATTGTCCAGACTCCGAGGACGAAGTTGCTCTTGTGTACTCCGCCTCCGGTCGCAGGCCATCTAGGATCGAATTGGGACAGCTGTTTGAAGAAGGTCACGGTCCAGACTCCCATCCAGCTGGTCCAGAGCCACCATGATCGGAACTGGATCAGGTACAAGGGCAGGCAAATCAGAATCGGGCCGACGAGGGCGACAAGAAATCGGTGAAAGTTCCGTCCGCCGACCGTGTAAAACGAGTTGATTCGCATCTTTTGGTCATCGACGATGTCCTGGTAGCTGTATGCGGTATTCAGGTAGATGATCCAGAAGAAAACCATCGTGCAAAGCGGGAAGCACTGGCTGACGGTGAAGTCAAAAGGTTGCTGCCGACCGTAGATGGCTGAACGTCCCATCACGGCAGGCCAGGCGATGGTGAAGCCAAGTATGTATTGCGGGTAGATGCGAAGGCGGCG